GGCGTGTGTTACGCTGCAGGGACTGAGGCTGGCAGCTCTATGGTGAAAATGAAGAGTAGTCTTGCTGTCTGCTTCTTTCCTCCTCCTTTTGTGCCCTCATCTCACTCTGGCCAGGGGTTATGGTTAACATGATAATCCTCATTACCACTGCCTTCATTAACTTTATTACTGTCTGCTCTTGTTCTTAGTGTGACATGCAAATGCCATAAACCACTCTCAGGTAAATGGGTGTTTCCATCCAATGAGACTTGGGAGGCTGTTGAGAGAGAAGGAAAGACAGCTCCCTGCACTTGTTTCCTTGTGTGGCTGCTTTACAGTGTAGTAAACATCTCAGGCCAGGTAATGGAAGAGCAGGAGGAGGGCAGTCAGGCATGGGAGGAGTGGGGGGCATGTGCATGTGCATGCACATGGCTACCAGGCAGCCTGGGAAGCAGCTCCTGCAGGTAAGTCTACTGGGGGGAGAGAGGATTGAGGCCCCAATAGGGAGGGAGGGAGTTGGGATGGGGCTGGGGCTGCTGCCCAGCTGGGGTGGGGCTTGGGGCCCAGGGCCGCAATGTATGGCCACACGGCCCCGGTGGGGGGCAGGACGGAGCCATAGGTGGTTCTTCTGGGAGCGGGGGGGGCTGACTCCCCGCTGCTGCATGCATTCCCAGGGGGAGCACGTGCCCCGCAGATCTGTGTACAGGATGGGCTGCCTGCCTTGCTGCCCCTCTCCCCCAGGGTTTCCATGGCCCGGCGGGCAGGACCCAGCACAGCAGGGCATTGTGGGTTGGGGAAGCTCCTTGCTGCCACAAGCCCTGCAGTGTCCTGGCAAGGCACCCCCTGCCCACCTGGCAGCAGCAGGGGTGGTGGCACAAAGCTGTGTCCCTTGTTGCTGCCAGATGGGCAGGGGGTGCCTTGCCAGGGTGGTTTGGAGGTCCCAGCAGCGGCAACGAGCTTCCCTGCCCAGCCGTGCCAGATCCTGCACGCGGGCCCGTGGAGGCCCCGGGGGGAGGGCAGCAGGGTGGGGAACCCAAGCCTGAGCTTGCACTGGGCAGCCTGCACCTGCCTTTCCCCCCCGCAACGGGCTCTGCTTTGCCCATGCCATCCATAAGGGAGGGGGAGGGGGGGGCTCTGCTCTGCCGCAGCAGCCACCACCTCCTGCGGGTGGCAGCTGGGTCTTGGACACTGCTGTGGGTGGCAAGGGGCTGCAGACCTGGGTCCCTGGCTCTATAGCCCTGGCAGCTGGGGGACCCCTGCAGGAGGGCAGGGGGGGGAGTGAGGGGCACCAGCAGGGCCAGAGGGCTGTGGGTAGGGGATGAGGGGCACTAGCAGGGCTGGGCGGGCTGTGGTTTGGGATTGAAGGTCCTGGACCTATGTCCTGCTGAGCAAAGGGGGCAGAGGAAGCTCTGATTTTTCTGTGCTAAACAACCCAAAATCAAATACCAACATTTATAGGTACTTAGAATTAATTTTACTATAGTGATTGAGGCACTGGTAGGCTTCCAAATTGCTTTACAATTGTAAATATATCAATAAAACATTGTGTTCAGTTGATACCTATATATATAGTGGCGTTTCATTTTAATCACGGATTTGGGTTTTTTAAATCAGAGAATTTGTGATTTTTCTTTTTAAACCAAGAAAACTAGGATCCCTGCTGATTTGTTTTTACTGGATGGAGGGGAAAGCACAATGACAGAAAACTAAGGTCCCAGCCTCTGCTTTGCAGTCACTAGCCTACACCCAGTCTGACCCATTGTAGTCTGGGGAGTCGAACAGGAAAAAGCAATGAGAGGAAAAAAAAATTTTCTCTAATCTTTCAAATACATTTAGTTGTAGAGGTAACTTTAGCTAGGAGATCCAAACCCCCACTCCCCGCAACAAACCACCTGACAAATGTAATGAAGTTGATACTTTAGTGCTTCATAATAAAAAGACACAACTTTGCTGACGATGGAGTACAACTAGAGGGAGGAAAGGGTCCTGGAGACGGACAGCCCTACCCTTGAGAAATAAAGCCTTCCACTGACTGCAGAGGGTTTTAGCTTTGGTCTGCGATGAGCAGAGGGAGTGTGTCAATATTCAGCAAGAGAAGGAAGGTCCGTTGCTATTGCAGAGGTTAGAATAAGCCATATAAACCCTTATTTGATGTGGCTGTTAGCAGGGGAGGCTAAGAGTTGGGGTATTACTTGGAGAATTGTTTTATCATTTGTTTTATATTCCTTTATGACTTTTATTACTTTTACTGTAAGCTGCCTGGAGCCTCTTTTGGGGGGGAAGGAAGGGGAGGGAAGCATAAAACGCTACTATAATTTTTTTCCTAAGTATAGTGGTGGCAGTTCTTTACTTCTGGGATAAGGTTTTTCATAATAGCTAATTGACAAAGTGGAAGAAGAGTCACCTCCCCTTAAGAAGCTTTGCTGCAATCACCCTTCTGTTTGCAGAATCCCAAATTCCAAAGCAGCTCAAGAAATATGAAGTTTAAGTGCAATATTACAGAGCAGTAACAGCCCTCGGAGAAAAATATGCCTTTGTGCATGGGTACCTGTGTTGCCTTTTTTCTGTTTAAGTTGCCATATCTCCTAAATTCTGATTACTATAGTTAAGAGTTCAAAATCAGGTGAACTATAGGTTTCGCAGCTCTCTGGTGTTTGAGGAAGGTAGTTAATCTGATTGCTAGTATTGCAGCATGCTGCTGCAGGGACCTTTACAACTTCATGGAACTATAAAGGCTCCTTGACAAAACAAGTCCTTTTATACCTGGTGATTCAGGTTTTTTCTTCTTTTTTAAAAAAAATAGAACTCTTCTTGAAGCCAAATTGCTTTTAAATCACATATACAATGGCACTTTTGTTAGGAGGAGCATTCTTTTGTGCTACCTTATTGCTTTCAGAGGGGTGTCTGGGGAAGAAAAGTTGATATTGAAGAACATTGTCTTGCTTTCTGATTCAAATGTATGCTAGGTCTGTTACTCCTATTTACATGCAAGCTGTTTTGTAGCTCTTGCTTCTTGTCTCCTCCAGAATGGCAGTTATCTGTGCAAATCTCCATTGAACTGATTGTAGATTGCATTCCTTAGTGGACTTGGAAGGTCTTTTCTCAGCTTGATTGCGAAATAAAGAAAAGCAGCTTTGTTGGCTTTGTCTAGGAACAGGAGGTTAGGAGTCCAGGACTCACAGGTTCTATTCTTGTCTTTGCCATTGATTCATTCTGTGGCCTTTTGGGGGGGCAAACTCTTGTGCCAACTCTTGTGTTCCAGTTTTCCATCCTTTGAATAAGGATAGCAGTTCACCTACCTGACAAGCAGCTGAAAGGAAATGAGTAAGTTAATAACGCTTAGAGCTCAGGCTTCAGGAGTACCAAGCACCCACACTTACACATGAAGTCCAGGGACACTGCAGGTGCTCTGAAAAGCAGGCCCTTCATCTGTATAAAGCTTTCCATCTAGATGTTGTACAAATATTATTGAAGGCAATCAAACATTATTAAGCCATAGGTTGCTGCCTGAGAGCCCTAATCCACACCCACAGAAATCAATAGCAAAGCATCTGAGACCCTTTATGGGATCATGCACTGTGTCTTCTTGGGCGTGGGAGCAGATTATTTTGCTTTCTGCCAGGGGAAGCATACAATTTGCAGCTCTCGGGTGCTGCCTGTCACTCAGTGTACTGAATGGCAGTGATTTCTGTACACTTCCTGCAATAGATGCATTGCAAATTAATACCTCTTTAAATCAGGTTCTTCTGTTGCAGCCCTTCATACCTGCCTTGGCCAAAATACTGAAGAGTCTTTGTTTAATGTTGGGATTGAGAGCATTTGCTTGCATAAATAATCAATATTGGTGTTTGTCCCAGCCTCCTGCGCTCAGCTGCATCGTCTCACCCAGTTACGCTGGATGTAACATATGGTGGTTTTGTTTTATTGTGCAGTGTCAAAAAAGCACGGCAAGCTCATCACCTTCCTGCGTACCTTCATGAAGTCTCGCCCAACAAAGCAGAAACTGAAACAGCGCGGGATCCTGAAGGAGAGAGTGTTTGGCTGTGACCTGGGAGAGCATCTCCTCAACTCGGGCCATGATGGTAAGAAAGAACAACTCAGTGTTTATGTTGATTCTTGAATCTTAGTTACCAGATGCATTGTAAAGTCACTTTTTTCTTTGAAGTCTATAACTATCTCCCTGCCCATTTTTTGTGTGATTCCGGCACGGTGTACAACCCAGATCTTTCCATCTGCCTTTTTTTTGCAAAATACCAAAACTGAAGCAATTAATTGGATTTTACTTTTCATCTCAGAATTTTACTTTTCTCAAACCCATCTCAGCTTCCTGCCTGCTGTCCCTTTAGTCCCCATCCACCACTAAAATAAGAGTCAGGAAACAGGTGTTTGCTCCAAGGAGAATGCATATCCATTGCTTATCTTCCCATATACAACATCTGTTACTGTAGAGAGTGTGTTGGTGAACTGGAATTGCACCATTACTGCTGAGTACCACAACACTCAGGAAGAAGAGAGGGAGGGAAGCAGCTCCCAATAGAGTCCTTTCCAGCTGATCAGGAGTTAATGCCATAAGCAGCATCTCCCTCCTGATGGCTTTGAGGAAAGCAGCAGGCAGAGCAGAGCCCTGGGTGAGTGATCAGGGATATGGCCTTGCCTCCCAGCTTATGTCTGTTTTTTCCCCCTTTGTTTTTTGGTTAACAAAAAAGATCATGAATCGCGGTAAGCGGCCAGTATAATCTGGCAAAGTCCGTACCCTTGTGTTTTATGGCTTTTGTTTTGAGGCAGGAAAACAAGGTAGTGCAGGGAGGGGGGCTTTCTCTACTAAGTTTCCTCCAGTTGTACTTTAGATTCTGTCTCTGCAGACGTCTTGGTGGGGAGGGGATGTGCTTATGCAGAACTGCATGTGTTGAAAGCTAATTTTGCTGCTCACATCAAGTATGTTACTACCAGTTTTGGAATCAGATTGCATTTATGACATCAGGACTATGGCAAGGTTCACCGCCTTGTTAATTTGAACCAGTGGAGGTCTCACAGATTCACAGAAGTTTAGGGCTCATTTTTGCTGGGGCTAGAAAAGTACCTGACAATTAGAGCGCGGCTGGTGTGGAAGCAGACACGGAGTCTGTCCCCCACCTAAGCCGTGGATCTCGGATGGCTGCTTTGTGTCATCAAGTTGCTGTAAAACTATTCAATATTAACTTGCAGGGGGGGAAATCAAGAGGTTCAAAAGCAGGCCAGCAGAATAAGCTTGCATTGAGGCAACAGAAAGTGCTTGTCCCTCCTCTTGTTCCCTTCAGCTACATAAGACTGAAGCTAATTCCAGCTCTTCTTAGTGTCCTGCCCTGCCATCATCCCAATTCATTAGGAGAGATGCAAATCCTCAACATCATATTTTCCTGAGAGCCAAGGGGCTGGTATAAACAGTCATGACTCTACTGATGGCTCATCTCAGACACCGTGAAGCAGCTGAGGACTAGTCCCAGGTTTCAACCCCCTGCCTCCCCGTCACACACACCTCCATGTGCATGGCTGTGCCGTGTTAATGAGGTCTCATCATTGAAGGAGTTTCCATTTGCTTTCAATCTTGACTTAATAACTCTTTCCTAACTCCCCAGAGAGTGAAGCAGATCCAATTTGGATGTTGCTAACAGGGGCCAGGTCTCCATTTCTCACAGCAGGGTTGGTTTTTTTTCAGTGCAGTTCAGCTCCTTGACCTGTATTCCAAGTGATGTAATCTGAGGAATTAGTTTTGCGGAGACATTTTTGTGTTCCAGTAAATCAAACCATGTGTACGTGCAGCATTTTAAGCATCCGTTATTGTGAAGTGTTAGATGCTTTAGTTTCAGAGGCAATTATAAAGCATAGCCGGGTGATCTATTTAAAGGGGATTGAGAGAACATGAGACCCTATGTGAGTTAGATGGAGATGGACACAATAATATCCTTTCATCTCGGAGATCATACAGGAGCTCAGAGAGCATTTTCAGAGGAACTACTAGCACATAACACTGAAGATAGCCTGCATATGGACAACTTTGCATCCACAAAACATTGCATCATGTTTCAATTCACAGAAATCCTTTTTATAGGTCAATAATAATTTTTGACGCGTTGGTTCACAGTCCCCAAAGACTCTGTATGGTTCAAAAAAAAAACTTCTACACAGAATAACTTTGAAACAGATGACAGCCCATTTATATGCTCTCCAGAAATGCAGAATGGAGCCAGAGTTGAGTTCTGGATGTTGAGAATCATCAAGTGATCGCTGGCAAAGCCCCCTGCTAAGCATTTATTCCAGTCCCATATTTCTAAATAGCTATAAACTGGCTTTTCTCAGACATAGGTCCAATATTTATCATTACATTTCTTCTACCTGGAAGTATGCAAGATACTTTACAGCTCAGTTAAAACAAAGTCTAATATTTGATCCCATGTTACATTTGCATAAGTCGTTCCTCTGAATTCAACGCAACTGTTTACACGAGTAAGAAAGAATAAGTTTTTGCAGAAATGGTTCTTAGTTTTAGATCTGAGGTGATGAGTAAGAGTAATTGAGAGACAAGGAGGAGAAAAGCCTCAAGGGAAAATAAAGACCATGGCAGGATTATGTGGTTACTTGGTTTGAAGAACAGGCACATCTCAGCAATGCATATATTTAATATTAAAACTTAAAAAACTAACAGTTAAACCTTGGTAAACAGTGAATGTTGGCATCTGCTAGTGAATGCTTTGTTTTTATTAGTGGAAGTTAGGCATATAAGAAGAATTGGGTTTATGTAGGGCTGCAAATCTACAAGGGAATTTATAATCACAGATGAAGTATGGTCCCTATCGGAGAGTTTAAATCTGAACTGACAGGATGGAAGGATGGCTAAGTGGACAGGGCCCTGGACTCAGAGTGGCTGTGATGAGATGTATGAGTAATTTGCTGCTGGTCACTTCATCAGTTTGATGCAGATGCAGTTTGCTGCTACTTGATTGTTGGATGTGGGCCTGGGGTTTATGCACACAGTGGCCGCATCTACATTAGCTGCAGAGTAAATTGTCATCATCTAAATGTGGTTTTAGGCCTCAGTGAACTAATTAACAGTGCTGTGGTGGAGTCATTAACTGTGATTAAACACACATGTAGAACCTGATCGTGCTCCTGGTCAGCCCAGATAGTTGGGGGCCAGACTCCTGCCTGCTGCCTAGCCACACAGCTCTGCACTTTCAGCACCCTTGTGCCCCAACCAACTCCTCCACCACCCAACAGGGCTGCCCGACACCACCACTTGGAGCCCAGGGCTGATCCCTGTGCCCTCTGCCAGCATGGAGCAAGCAGAGCAAGAGTGGCCCTGGTGTAAATTGCTCTGCCTTGGCTCAAATTGCTGCTGTCCCAGGCATACATGTAGACACTGCCCAGGAGTAGCTTACTCCAGCTCAGACTGCTCCAGCATGTATTGCTTTGAATTAATTGCATGTGTAGATGCACCCAGTTGAAGGCAACTTGAGAGAGATAAAAATATGACATTAGTCATAGGGGTGACAGAGAACAGTGTTTAATATTGAGATGATTCTGTTCCCCTGGATTGATTTTTACAGACATTACCCTGTTTGTTTTTGTCTCTATTATGCTAGCACCTGGAACAGGGATTCTCAACCAGGGTGCCAGGGGTTACCTTGAGCTCCCTTCAAGGATGCTACACGGTGTTAGCACTGTTAGGGGTGAAAACATGAGTCACAAGATAAACCCAAAAATTTCACATAGGAATTCAGAATATTAAAGCCATTCTGACCTGCTGTGGTACTTCAGAGTTATTTGCAAGCAAAGAATTGCTCCATTATTTGTCTGTAGTCAAAAATCAAGTGAAAGCTAAGAGCTGGCATTTTTCAAGGTGTGACTTGAGCCTATTGAGGGGTGCCTCAAGTTTAAAAAGGTTGAGAACTGTTGATCTTGACACTTGAGGGTGCACTGTGCTAAGGACGAAAGCTTAGCGATAGCACTCAAAGCTCTTTGAGCAGAGGCTGTGTAGACAAGACAGACAAAGAATGAAAGTAAGAAAGCATCAGTATTCATAGAATCATAGAAAATGAGGGTGGGAAGGGACCTCCGGAGGTCATCTAGTCCAACCCCGTGCTCAAAGCAGGACCCCAACTAGATCATCCCAGCCAAGGCTTTGTCTAGCAGGGTCTTAAAAACCTCTAAGGATGAAGAGTCCACCACCTCTCTGGGTAACCTGTTCCAGTGTTTTACTACCCTCCTAGTGAGAAAATCCCTCCTAATATCTAACTTAAACTTCCCTTGCTGCAACTTGACACCATTGCTCTTTGTTCTTTCATCTGCCACCGCTGAGAACAGTTCAGCTCCATCCTCTTTTGAACCCCACTTCAGGTATTCGAAGGCTGCTATTAAATCCCCCCTCATTCTTCTCTAGACTGAATTAGCCCAGTTCCCTCAATCTCTTCTCACAAGTCATCTGCCCCAGCCCCTGAACCATTTTCATTGCCTTTTGCTGGACTCTCTCCAACCTGTCCACATCCTTTCTGTAGTGGGGGGCCCAAAACTGAACACAGTACCCCAGATGTGGCCTTACCAGTGCTGAATAGAGGGGAATAATACTGGGCTGCTGGCAACACACCTACCAATGCAGCCCCTGATGCCATTAGCCTTCTTGGCAACAAGGGCACACTGTGGCTCATATTCAACTTATTGTCTACTGTAACCCCCAGGTCCTTTTCTACAGAGCTGCTGTCCAGCCAGTCAGCCCCCAGCCTCGGTGCATGGGATTTTTCTGTCCTAAGTGCAGGACTTTACACTTGTCCTTGTTGAACCTCATGAAATTCCTTTTGGCCCAATCCTCCAATTTGTCTAGGTCACTCTGAATCCTAGCCCTACCCTCCAGCGTATCTACTACTCCCCCCAACTTGATGTCATGTGCAGACTTGCTGAGGGTGTGCTCTATGCCATCTTCCAAGTTGTTGATGAAGACATTGAACAAAACTGGCACCAGGACCAACTCCTGGAGCGCATCACTTGATACTGGCTCCCAACTAGACATCGAGACATTGATTACTACTCTCTGAGCCTGATGCTCCAGCCA